CACACACATACACATACACATACACACACACACACCACACAGGAGCACACACACATATACAGGAGCACACACACACACACACACACCACACACAGGAGCACACACACATATACAGGAGCACACACATACATACACACACACACACATACACATACACACACACGCACACACACATATACAGGAGCACAGACACACACACGAACACACACCACACAGGAGCACACACACATATACAGGAGCACAGACACACACACGAACACACACCACACAGGAGCACACACACACATACACACACACACACCACACAGGAGCACACACACACATATACAGGAGCACAGACACACACATGAACACACACCACACAGGAGCACACACACACATACACACACACACACACACCACACAGGAGCACACACACACACACACACACACACACCCCACAGGAGCACACACACACACACACACACACACACCCCACAGGAGCACACACACACACGAACACACACATACCACACACACACACCCCACACGAGCACACACACACACACACACACACACACACACCACACAGGAGCACACACACACACGAACACACACATACCACACACACACACCACACAGGAGCACACACACACACACGAACACACACACACCACACAGGAGCACACACACACACACATGAACACACACACACCACACAGGAGCACACACACATATACAGGAGCACACACACACACCACACATTCACACACTACTGTTTACATGTTGCACACACAGACATCACACATTCACACTACTGTGACTGTGTCCGGGCTCTGTCCTGTTCTTAATACCTTAACAATTTGGAACGGAAGGTGGCATCTGCATTTTATTGATGAAGAAACAGGTTCAAGGAAAAAAGAGGTCAAACTGCCATTGGTCTTGTGTGTAATTCTTAGCATTACTGATGATGATCCACATCTGACTAAATAATGTTTTTGTTTTTTTGAGACAAGATCTCACTCTGGACCCCAGGTTGGCCTCCAATGTGTAGCGAACTTCCTGCCTCAGTTTCCCCAGGCCTGGGGTTACAGGCCAGGTGTGAACCACATGCCTGTTTGTAGCCAATATATTAATTTCAAAATGTTTGCATCACACACATTCACACACGTGTAAGAACACTTAAGGGGCTGGAGAGATGGCTTAGCGGTCAATAGCACTGGCTGCTCTTGCAGAGGACCCGGGTTCGATTCCCAGCCCTTGCCCCTCCCCCCCATCACTTCACTGTGCTGGCCTGTCTTCTTACTTAAGGGCTTTGCTGCCTAGTGCAGGGGAACCTGTGGCCAGCTTTGGGGAGTAGGGCTGGGTTCAAGTCATAACGCTTTCTGGTATTTATGGTTTTGTTAGTCAGGCTTTGGGAACGGGCACTGAGTGGCCTATTCCATACCAGGTCAGGGTCAATTTTATCACACACATACATGCACAATACGCACACCCTCACCAATCACAATCTTGGGTTCTGTGAAGTTCAGTGGCGCACTGGGCAGTGGAGTGCCGTAGGTAGAGGAAGCATGTCGATAGATCATAAACCCACCACCACAAAGGACTCAGACCAGGCAGGGCTCCACAGCTGCCCATCAGGTCCCAGAAGGCCTTCACAGGCCTGAAGAGCAGTGAGGGGCCTGATTAGCACATAGTATGAGATTCTAAAGGGCCAGGTTATAGTAAAGCCATCGGACGTACATTTACGTTATAAGCACCGTGTGTCAGGAACTGTATCAGGCCTCAGGTGTATAAAGATAGGAGCAGAAGGCAGAGGCTCCTCAGCTTTCCACAACCAGTAGGAAAGGACTGAAAGAAAGCACCCAACTGTGTAGACAGGCTCTTCAGGCTGTATGTACAGCTCCAGGAAGGCTTACACACATAATTAAAGCTGAGGGTCTGAGGTAGCCAGAGGTGCCCTGGGAAATACTTGCCTTACATTTAATGGCTCAGTTAGAAGTCATGGGAGTTGGGGTGGGAAAATGGCTTAGTCGTCAAAGTGCTTTCCACACAAGCATGTGGATCTGAGTTTGGATTCTCAGCACCATGTAAAAGCTAAGCCTGGCCAAAGTGATGAGCTCCAGATTCAGCTCAAGATACTGTCACAGAAAAGGTAGAGAGCTGTTGAGGAAGGAACTCAGTGTTAACCTCTGGCCTTTGCATGCAGGCACACCTATGCACACACACACTCAAACACACATATGCAACCCCCACACTCAGACAAACAAGTCTGCAGCGTTACAAGGGCACAGTACTCTGCAATCAAGGAGAGCTATGGGGGCTGAACAGGGCAGTTGACTCCAGCTGGTGGCTCAATCCTGACATGGCAGTTGCCTGGAGAGGTGGGGAGGACAGCTGTTCTTTTTTTCCAAAGAAATTATTTTTATTTCATGTGAATGAGTGTTTTGCCTGCATGTATGTAAGTGTACCCGTGTCGTGCAATGCCCGCAGAGGCCAGAAGAGGGTGTTGGATCTCCTGGAACTGGGGTTATGGATGGTTGTAGTCACCACGTGGGTGCTGACAATTGATCTCGGGCCCCCTGGAAGAACAGCCAGTGCTCTTTACAGCTGAGCCATCTCTCCAGCCCAGAAAAGCTGTTCCTAAACAGGTTGGACAGGGCTGGGGATGTGGAACTTGAAGCTGGACAGGTACGGAGGGCCACACCCCAAGGAAGGTAGCTTTACCTATTGGTTGTGCTTAGAATGATCACACATTTATTGTCCTAACTAGGGTACTTTTGAAAATAAAAGGAAGTTCTAGAAATCATTAGCATTTAATTTTTGGATGCTTATTAACCTTTCTATTAAACACTTTTTGAAAATATTTTTTCTTAAAATATAAAGACATTTCTCATGTATGTTGAAGCAAAACATTAAAAACCCTTTATTATGTGAACAGTAAAAATAACATGAGCAAAATAATTATGCTCAAGATACAGTTACTTATTTTAGATTCTCATACTGTCTCTAATAACATGCCATTAGTATTCCTGAGAAATATATATTTTTCAACATTATTTTGATTTTGATTTTAATGAACAGCACAGCAGCCAAAGGTGTATTTCACAGTATCTAGCGTCGACTATCTGATAATGCTGATGAGTTCTTCTCTTTTTCTTAATTGAGAAAATACATCCCACAGGGTCAGAAATAAGTTCAGAGTGAGTTTGGCTATCTAAAGGTATCAGCACGCTTTTTTTTTCCCATTGAAATGTGCAAACATCTTGAGCTATTTCTCCCTTCTGTTCAGTTTACTTTTCTTCAATAAATATTTTTACAAGACAAAACTCATCAAATAAGCTGTTTGTTTATGATGATTGTGAATTTTTGATAAATATAGCTGTTATCAAATCACAGGCTCTCTTTACTCCACTGCAGAATAGAAGATCTATCCAATTGAAAACAGCAACTCTACCCAAGGGTGCCCTTTATTCATAGTCTGTCCTGAGGGACTCTTACAGACACTTAGCATTGAAACATCAATGTCCTTAAGGTCCTGTCCTCTAATTTGATTGGTTCAACTCTTCCTTTGCTTTTGGAAGGGAAAGTTTTAATGTCTTTCTTAGTGTGAAGCTTGTTCTTAGCAAGCAGAATTTAATTTTTTATGGAGTTTTATTAATCTTTGTTTTGATTTTGTGTGTATTTATATTTTTGTTGATTTTCTTTAGGCTGGCATACAAAGTGATGGGTTTTGTGCTGGCACCTGTCTACATTTATGTCATTGCACTTTGTTCTCGTCCAGTCCCCTCCTGTTCTAGCTGGTTTGCTTCCTTCCTTATAAGAATTACAGATTCTTGCTTTCAGTAAGCAAAACTCAAGTCTTTTGAACAATACCTTCATGAATCTGATTAAAGGCATCTGACTAATTTTGAAGCCAAAATTTAGGATTTGTTGGATTTTATTTATTTTATTTATTGGAGGCCATGTCACAGTTACCGTGGAGGTCAGAGGACAGTGTGTGGAAGATGGTTCTCTTTTTGCAGCACGTGGGCCCTAGGACTCAGGTCAGCAACCGTGGTGGCAAGCGCCTTTATCCACTGAGTCATCTCAGGACCCTAGGACTGGTTTATTTTGAAGAATTTGACTCCATTGGAAGACACTAAGGTTAATACTAGAAAATTCTTGAAAATTTCAAACATCTCAAATATTTCTAATACGCAACTTGTTATAAGGAGCAACGTGAGAATGTGTATATATGTACATATATGTTTGTGTGTGTATTTTCTCACCATACAGAATTGTTTCTTGTTTTCAGCCAAAGCATCAAAGATTTTATGTAGTTGAATCGTCTTATGGATAATTGTACATGGATAATGGAAAGCCCGGCTTCTTAGAAGCCCTCTCAGAAACCCTCTGTTACTATGCATGCTAACACACCTCGCTTGGGCAAAGTCTTCTACCACCTTTTGGAGGATTTTCTACTGTTGGTTCAGAAAGATGGTTTTCGAGTGGCCAGTGCTAACCATAGCTTACTCAGCAGATAGTAATACTTAACAAATATCGACTTTCTTGAGAAATGCATATTTAGACTTAATTATTTTTTATTTCTTTGTTCATTTGAGACAATTTCTCTGTATCCCAGGCTAGTCTAAAATTTATGGGTTAGCCCAGGCTGGCCCCAGTCTTGTAGCATGCCTCCTGCTTCAGCCTTCAGTGCTCTGAGATGATCAGTGTGTGTCCCCATGTCTGGACAGTCTTAATTCTTATTAAATTTGAATTATTTCTTAGCCCATTGCTGCTGAAAAGATTTGTCACAAACTGAAGTGAATTACTAAACAAATCTGGAAATACAGAGTTACCTATACAGCAATGGGCTTTCATAGTAAAACATTCTTGCTGTTCTCTACACAGCTGCTCACAGGTGCAGTCAGGCTGTATTTCCTGACATATCTTATTTCTGTATGTATATATTTCAAATGCTTATCGTACCTTTAGTCAAAATAGCCCAAACTGGAAACAAACCACATGTCCATCCACAGGTGCCTAGACAGACAGACTGAAGTTTGTCCACTTGGCAGAACGAGCACTCACCAGTCAAGAAGAGGTAAGTGTTGAGGACAAACAGTGATGTGGACAAATTTCAGAAACATGACTCTGAGGGAAATGGGCCAGGCCAGAGTGGATATTATATGATTCCATTCACAGAAAGTTCTAGAAACCTCAGTATTTTAAATATACTTAACTTAGAGTTTTCCTGTTTCCTCATGAAAATGTTACTGTTGGACAAATGAACTCATGCCCCTCACTCTCTGATCCAGCTGCACTTCCCCCCTGGCTGAACAGGAAATGAACATTCTTATTTATGCGCTGCCCTGGGAAGGGCAGCATGACTGAAGCTGATCTTGAAGGAGCCTAGAAGGGTTGTCACTGGCTCCTTCAGATTTAATCCGTTGTCATAATGAGAAATTCAGGACTGGAGAGGTGGGTCCGTGGCTAAGAGCCTTTCAGGGATAGCCCAGGTTGGCTTGGAGAAGGCCGGAGCTCAGTTCCCAGTACTCACTTTGGACAGCTCAACTGCTTGTAATTGCAGTTCCAGGGGCGTCTGATTCCTCTGGCCTTGAGGTTTGCACTCATGTACAGAAATCCACACTCAGGTACACATATATGCACATAATTAAAAATAATAAAATATTTAAAGAACCCTGCAATCAAGTTACAGGAAAGAAAATCTCTCTCTCTCTCCCTCTCTTTCTCTCTCTCTCTCTCTCTCTCTCTCTCTCTCACACACACACACACACACACACAAACTTCAGTGTTAGGTTGGAGAGATGGCTCATTGGGTAAGAGAGTTGCTGCAGAAGACCCGAGTTCTGCTTCCAGCATCTGTTTCACACAGCATACAACAACTTGTAACTCCAGCTCGAGGGGATCCAATGCCCACTTCTGGCATCCATGGGAACACACACATGCACACATGGTGTATTCACACACACACACACACACAGTACTAGAAGACACTGGTGGAAGTTATTACAGAAAGACAGAAGAAGATAGAGACCCATTAAATACACCATGTCTTATTTTAGTCTAAATACCAGCAATGTCACCTTATTAAAGAATAAAAACCCAGGATGAACACTGAACAAGAGGCATTACCCAAAACCGTCCCCAGAAAACTGCAATACATGGTCTCTCTGCCCCCAGTCCCTACCTCCAGGCCAGAGCTACAGGTTTAAGCAAGGGAAGCATGTCATTACAGTTGTGCTTACAGGACTATTTCTGGAGCTGTGTCTGTGAACTGTGAAGATTATGACAGGGCAATTTGTAAAGGAAGACCATCTTAGAGGTTTTGATGGCAATAAACCATAATCTGCTTTTAAATTCTTTTATCTCGTTTGCTTACTATATCATCAGTGATGATCAAAAAATTACAGAACATGTTCCAAAGAAATTTGAGCCAGAAGTGGAAGTTTTTAATATCTTCAAAGGAGAGTGTGGGGCAACCCTGGGAGTTAGAAAAATGTGTTGTCAGAGATGACTAGCAGATTCCTGCCTTACTCTATTTGTGATGCTGTAGTCAAATAATCAATTCTGGGTCATTTATAAACAACGGAAACTTATTTTTTATAGTTCTGGGGACCAGAAAGTCCAAGACCAAGATGCTAACAGGTTCAGTGTCTGATGAAGGCTGTTCTGTTTCCAGGATGGTTCCTTATTGCCCCACCCCCTTCAGGGGGGTGAGCACCATGTCCTTATATGGCCGAAAAGATGGGCAAGAACAAAACCCACTACCTCTAACTGTCTTGAAAGGAGCCACATGAGTAGATGAGGGTGCTCCTTAAAAGATTTTATTATTTTTATTTTATATGTATGAGTGTTATGCCTGCATGTAAGTGAGTACACCTGTGTTGTGCAATGCCTGGGGAGGACAGAAGAGGTTGTCTGATCCCCTGGAACTGGAGTTATGGACAGTTGTTAGCTGCCATGTGGGTGCTGGGATTCAAACCTGGGTCTTCTGCAAGAACAGTGTTCTTAATTGCTGAGCCATCTCTCCAGCCCCAAGATCCCACCTCTTAATACAGTCACACCAATAACTAAGTTTCAATATGAACTTTGAAGAGACAGAATTTTCAAACAATAACAATCCCCCATAGCCACCATCACTTTCTTTTTATTACGATGTCTGGGTTTCACATGGACCCATGCTTGGCTTGTCCTGCCTCTCTTGCAGCTAGATGCAGTAGTTGAACTGAGCTCTGATTGGTGTGATCAGTGTGTCACACAGTTCCTGGAAGTGTCCTTAAACACACACACAGAGACTGTCTTCTCCCTCCTGCTTCATAGTCTAGAATGTAAACACCATGGCTGAGCTCAGCCAATTTTGCTCCCAACTCAGAAATCAGGTGCTAATACAAGCAAAGCCGGAAGAAAGAAAAACAATGAAAGTGAAAAGTTCGGGTCCCTGCATCCCATGGCCTTTACCTGGACCCTGGAGCACTTCCTCCTGATTTCTTTCCTACGAGAAAGCAATGATTTCTAACTCTTTTCAGGGATATTGCTTTGGGTTTTCTAGTAGTCAGCTAATCTTAATTGAACTGACTTATATCTATCATGTTTACTTACAAAACAATTAGACCAAAGTTTTATTGCATCACGTGTTGGTTACTTTTCTGTTGTTGTGATAATACAGTGTGACCAAGGCAACTCACAGAAGGAAGAATTTGTTTGGTTTACACTTCACAGGGCCAAAGTCCATAATGGTGGGGAAGAATGGACGCAGAGGTGGCAAAAGCGGAAAGCCGAGCCATCACATCTTCAAGCAGGAACGGGAAGCAGAGAGACTGGAAATCTCTCAAGGCTTATGAACTCTCTAAGCCCACCCTCAGTGATGTGTTTCCTCCAGCAAGGCCACACTCCTAAAACCTCTGAAACCAGCACCACCAACTGAGGGCAAAATATCGAAATACTTGGAGCTTATGGGGGACATTCTCATTCAAACCACCACACACTTGTTCTATAAACTTCTCCTAGGTTCACAGGACAGAGACTGAAGTTCAGATGTGAAGGCTAATTTGATTAAGGTCACATTCAGACACAGGTCCAGTGTGTTCTTGGAATGGGCACAGGATTGGCAAAGGAGACAGGGAGCACTGGGGGAGGAGGGAAGCTAGGACAGAGGAGTCTCACTGGGCATTAATGTATGGAAAGCGCAGCATACGGGACCTTAAAAGTCAGGGGCTCCTCAAAGGAACTCGGTTTATTATCTAAGCTGATTAACAGACTGACGAATACAAATGTATTTGTTGGTGTGGTCTTGATTGCTTCTAATCTTATCATGCATATTCTGACATATAATAATACCACAAGTCACCTGACACGTCTGACACATGCACAATAGGTAAAGATGTGAGCTTACAACCATATCGTGGAAGGTAGCAGGTAGGTACTTGATAGCAGCCCTTAAAAGTCTTATGAATTATAACCTTACTATAACCTTTCCATAGTGTACTATGGAAATCTTTATTTTATGGTGGTCTATCCAAACACAAAGTGAATAAATGCTAAAATGGGGGTGGGAGGACTGGAGAGATGGCTCAGCAGGTACTTGCTGCCAAGCCTTACAGACCTGAGTTCAGTCCCTGGAACTCATGTGGTGAAAGGAGAGAACCAACTCCTAAGTTGTACTCTGACCTCCACATGTAGGCTGTGGTTGTACACACACATATACACATACAGTAAATAAGGAAATGTTTTAAAATTAAGGTAACCTTTTATTAATATGTACCCATTAAAGCAGCTGTTATATTAAGGTTTTACCTTACGATTAAGAGTAGGTGGGGAGATAACCAGGTGTGTGGGCTGTGCAGAAGGCCAATGGGTGGGGTGCTTACTGTACAATGTTAAGGACCGGAGTTTATTTCCAGCACCCACTCAAAAGCTGGGTGTGACTGTGTGTGCCTGTAACCTCAGTGCTGTGGGGACAAGCAGATCCTGAAAGCTCACTGGCTGTTCGTCTTAGCAGAATGGTGAGCTTCTGTTTCTGGGAAAGGCTGTCTTACAGGAGTAAGGCAGAGAGCTGTAGTGGAGGGCACCTGATGTCCTCATGTGTTTGCATGGACACACACACACACGCATGTACCACACACACAGCATGTACCCCTAAAATAATTTTTTAAAATGTCCGACTACTATCTGTCCAACCTTAGTGATTGTAAGTGCGTTAACCCGATGGCAGGCTGGAAGATATAGAAACATGTTATTTTTGAAGGAATTTTTAGCTCCTTTTTTGTACAGGCTCTGATAACCTGAAGATACGTACTGGTTGGGGTATGTTTGTCCATCATCAACAAAATTCCAATTTGGTTCAGTTATGGAGTAATTCTCTCTGATACTAATTGTGCACAAGGCATTTATTTTCATTAGCAGGAAATTTTATTTGAAGGATTTGCAAGTTCAAACTGAAGGGTTTGTTTGAAGGCAAAGTTTTCATGAACTCAAAGATAACTGCATATTTTTAGCACTCTCAAAGCCAAAGGCTGGAAGGCAAGAAGGTATCCAACGTGAGGGGCTCGTCAGTGTTTTATGGAATATCCAGGCTTTCCTCAGGGTCTCCCCAACATTCACTTTCAACATGTGCTAACTGTGGGTTCAGCAGTCAGAGGTGCAGGACACCTTCCCTGTGTGGTCTTAAGAGGTCAGCTTGTAAACTGAGCTTCCAGACCATGCCAGTGCTGTGTGAACCAACTGATAATTAAAGAAGAAAAAGGAGAAATAAAAGTAAATGAAAATTTTCTAATCTTGCAAAACATTAATATGCCTTGTTACAGGTATTTTAAATACGTTTTTATTCTTTGGGAATTTCATACATGCATATAATGTGTCTTAAATGTATTTACCCCATGTCCTGCCCTTAGTCCCCCAGATCTACCCCTCCCTCCTTCATATCTTTTTTTTTTTTCATAACCCACTGAGTCCATCCACTCTGTGCTGCCCATGTACTCATGGGTGTGGGGCCATCCACTGGAGTGTGGTCAACCTGTGCCCTTAAAGAAAAGTGGCTCTCCCTTTCCTGATGTCACATATGTAATATGACATATTGACAACAATACTGGGCCGTGCCATTAGTGCTTTGAAAACTCCACTTCTCATGCTGAGCGCCAGGAAGCTCATCTCTCTGTTCTACAAAGTAGTTGTGTATGTACATGTGGATGTCAGAGGACAGCCTGTCGGTCACTCCTCGGGAGTCAACCCCCTTGTTGTTTTGAGGCAGGCTCTCTCCTTGGCCTGGATACTCTGTTAAGCCAGGCCGGCTTTCCATGAGCCCAGAGAACTCACTTGTCTTCACCTCTCTACACTGTAATGGCAGTGAATGACAATTATTGGGAAGAAGTTACTTTTAAATTCTAGAGGGAAAAGCTTAAATGATCCCAAAGCTTAGAATGTTTACACAAAGTGGTTGGAGGAGACTAATTCTCAGAGGAGAGGTACTCTGAACATAACCCAGTGTTTCGGGTCGATTACTCCTTTTAATTTTTAAAAATATTTTGATTTAGCCAGGTGCTGTGGCGCACACCTTTAGTACCAGCACTCAGGAGGCAAAGGCAGGTGGATCTCTGTGGGTTCAAGGCCAGCCTAGTCTACATAGTGAGTTCCAGGACAGCTGGAGTTACAGGGAGACCTTGTCTCAAAAAGACAAAAAAAAATTATTTTTTTATTTTATTTTGTGTGTGTGTGTGTGTGTGTGTGTGTGTGTGTGTGTGGAGGGCTCAAGTGTGGAGGTCACATAGCAACTTGTGAGTGTCAGTTCTCTTCTTCCACCACGGGGGTCCCAGGGATTGAACTCAGGCTGTCAGGCTTAGAGGCAAGCACCTTTACACACTGAGCCGTCTCTCTGGCCCAAGTAGATCGGCTCTCCCTATAGGACCTAGTTAGTAGCTTTACTGAAATGTCATAGGCATTTGAGGTCAGTTTGTCCTCCAGTCCTTTGGCATTTCCTGAGACTGAGCTTCCATCAGAAAGTGGGTGTGTGCACACAGGATGGTGGTAATGGTGTCAGTGCTCAGGGAAGGTCTTCCAGGGTTGGGTGTGGTGACCTGATCCTTCAGCATGACTGTACTGTGGTGGCTCTGGAGGTGGGGTGGTAGGGAATTAGTTTTAGAGCTCTTTCTAAAATCAGTGGTGGCCCCTGTTACTCTCTGGAAGGAGGGCAGTGCTTCTGAGGAGTGCTGAAGTAGGAGAGGAGGAGCCTGGAGCGTGCACTCAAAGGGAAGAAATCCGTTCGGTTCTCAGCTTTTCTACCAGAGGACACGATGTGCAGACACTTGTGCAAATCCACAGTTATACAATGAGCTAAAGGCCTTTCTTTAATCGAGGATGCTGTTTTTCCTTCTGAAACTCAGCTCCTCCTCTTCCTGGCCGGGTAGAGGACACAGCGGACTAGCTGTAGGCTGCTGAAAATGCTCTGTGCTCATCAGTGTTGAGTCTCCACAGAAGCAGAGCTAAAGGGGAAGGGAGCGGTGCTGATGGGAGCTGTTGCCTGGTCTCCAGCACAGGCTTTCTTGGCAGCTGAGCATCTCCACCCAGTCCTGGGAACTAGGGTTGGGGTCCTCTGCAGAGATGGGAGGGGCCGAAGGATATAGTGTGTGGGTGTCATCGCACCATCACAGAACAAGGGTGTTCCTCCTTTATATTTAACAATGGCCATCTGGAACATGCTAATAGAACATCTTCAAATGGGCTGGAGAGATGGATCAGAGCTAGGAGAGCATATTGTTCTTCCAGAGGATCTGAGCTCAATTCCTAGTACCCACATCAGGTGGCTCACAATTAACTCCAGCTCCGGGGGATATTTGATGCCCTCTTCTGGTTTCCAAGGGTACCTGCACACATGTGCACAAACTTACACACACACACACACCCACACATACAATGAAAAATAAAAGAAAAAGGGACTGGAGACATTGTTCAGCAGCTAAGAGCACTGTCTGCTCTTGCAGAGAACCTGGATTTGGTTCTGAGCACCCACATGGTGGCTCACAATCTTCGGTAACTTCCAGGGGATCCGACACAATCTTCTGGCCTCTGTGGGCATTATATACCCATGGTGCATTTACATACATGCAGGTAAAACACTCATATATATATATATATATATATATATAAACTAAAAATAAATAAATTGAAAGGAAAAGAAAGAACGGTAGAAAGAACTTCTTCAAGCAGTCCTGTGTGTGCTGTGTCTGGCTGTTACCTGGGACCCCATGGGCATCTCTCACCAGCCCTTCCCTGCTCTGTCCTCCAGAGTTGGCCCTGCCCTCCCCTGCCCTGCAGAAGCACTCACTGCACTGAACAGTCCAACCTGGGTTTTGTTTCTCTCTCACTGTTGGATTGTGAGTTTCTTAGGGTAGAGGCTTTGTTTTATTTATCTTTGTATAATTATAAATGTGTGGGAATGCCTAGTGCTGCTTAATGTTGGCATAAACAAGCAGATAACGGCTTTAAAAATGTTACATTTATCTATTTATCTGCGTGTTGTGGGGCTGTGTGCCCCAGCATGTGGAGATTAGAGGACAAACTGCAGGAGTGAGTTCTCTCTTTCCACTCTGTGAGTTCCGGGGATCCAACTGAGTTCATCAGGCGTGGTAGCAAGCATCTTTACTCATTGAGCCATCTCAGTGACCCCCAGATTACAGCTTTGATGAAATTATTTCAGAGTAATTCTTTAAAATAGCTTCATTTATAACATCATAGTTTTATCATAGAACTTCTAGAGAATTTTGAATGAAGAGAATAAAATTTGTCATCTCACTGCTGGTGTAGCAAACATATAGCAAACATGCCGGAATATGTCGTACCAGCCTTTCCAGATTTTAAAAAAGAGAGAGAAAAAAAACGTATTAGATGACACACCGTACCGTCTGTGCTGCTTTAAGAAATGCTGTTACACGGTGAAAGTTTTCCCATACCACTCCTCGCTGTGGCGCTTTCCATAACTATAGAATGTGCAGTAACTTACATGATTATTCTTTTGTATTTGGGATTTATATGTTCTAATATTTTGCATCTATGAGACGCCATGGTGTACACTGTGCTGAACTAGGATGACTTCATTGGACCGATTCCTGCTGAGCAGTTGCAGAAACAGGCTCCATGTCTTTCAGATGTTTGGACGACACTACAGAGCCATAATAATTCATATTCTCATCAGAGCGTATATCCCTGTCCTCTGAACGCTTGTTAAGAATGGTGGTTACATATGTGTCAAAACGTTGTCAATTTAAAAGTCTAAAAGAGCCATATAAAAATTAAAATAAAATGTTATGCTGAAGTAACCCAGGAAGGCTGAAAGATTTCCCAGCCAAGGGGTTGTACCAGTGCTGGGAGGGCTAGGGAGATTTTGGGGAGGGTAAGAAACAACCACAGAAATCCAGAGCATGGATGGGGAGAATGATGGGGGCGGCCACATGCCAGGGACAGGGAAGAAGCCATGATTCAGCCCAGAGGACACTGGGAGGCAGCGCCGAGGAATTACAACAAAGTCGGGCTGTGCCAGCTTCCGGGAGATCAGGAACAGTGCCTGGGGTGGATGACACAGGCTGCTGGCTAGGAGGAGAGGTTTGAGAAACCCACCCAGGCTGAGAATAAAAGTTGGGTCAGAGCTCATGAGCAGGTGGAATGCTGATGTTTCAAGACAAGGCAGAAAGGGCTGGGGATGTGACTCAGTTGGTAGAGCACGTGAGCACTCGTGAGGTCCTGGGTTCCATCCCAGCACCACGTAAACTGGGTGGCCTACACTTGTAATCTCAGCACTTGGAAGATAGAGGGAAGAGGACAAGACGTTTAAGGTTATCCTTGGCTATGAGTTTGAAACCAGTCTGGGCTACATAAGACCCTGTCTCAGAATTTAAAAACAGAGTTGGAGATAAGAAAAATGAAATGACTCTGTGACCTTGTCATGAGAACCAGACAGAGCTGGTTTAGCATTTTGACTTGCCCACATACCCTGTGAACTTGGGTGGTCCAGATTCGTACTTAGTAGTTTGGTTAAAATCATCTCAAACCCCTTTTGTAGCCGGGAAACCCTTTGTTTCTACTGTAAATATAGGCAAGCAGGACTGTTATTTCTTGGGGAGGCCTGGGGACAGGAATGTCCACCGCAAAGCCATGGGTTCAGTCGATATTTAGACTTAAGCACTGGGATTATTAGGTCTGACACCAAGTCATCGCTCAGAAGTCCACCAGCCAGTGGAGCCAATGCCTGTGCTTAGAGATGTGGAGCGTGACGTGGCTCTGGCTTGCTTGAATGCGCACCACTGACACAATGAGCAGCGAATATTTCTTTTCCACCCCAGACATCTATCATGTCTGGCAGCTAATGGAAGCCCCTGAATGTGAAAGGACCCCCTCAAAGTGTTCTCATGTCTCTGTAGGTTTTTGTCACTGGTGAGACTCTAGCTGGATTGGAAGGAACTGGAAGTCTAAGAAAGTCCAGCACTGACACCCTGACAGATGCAAAATCCTAACCGTTCAGTTGGGCAGGATACTGTTCAGTTCTCGGATGACTTCCCCACTGGAAAGTTGAAATGCCTGCCAGAAACAAATGCCCACTTTTCAAATATCTGGTCTGTATCATTTATTTTTAATACTAAATGTGACATAGTACAGTGTTCTATCGATTAAATTAAACTGCACGGATGAGGGAGACAGAATTTCAGTTGAATGCTTGGATGAAAAATGAGCTATGCGTGGCCAGTCTTCCTGGCAGCATCTGTCCCCGTAGCTACTGGCTGGGTCCTCACAGCATCCAGGCTGGTCTGAACAAGGGGCACCCCCAACTCAGAAAAAGAAGCTCTTGGATCTTTAATAAAGAGGGAAATATTTCCTGGTTAGCCAGGAACTGCACAGACAGATTATTTCCCTCACTGATGGTGTGGTTTTGATGACGTCATGACACTGCACAGCGGTCACAGGTTTCCAACAGGCCCTACACACTGAATGCAAACATTTTCCCTCTGCCCTCGGAAATGAGAAAGTCTGTGCAGGATGCTGTCTGGGTTGAAAGATGCTCACCTGGTGTATTCCAAATGAAGGTTTCAGCAAAATTCAAGACCCTAAGCCAGGGGCTGGAGAGGTGACTCAATGGTTCAGGGCATATCGTATGCTGCTTTTGCAGAGGACTTGAGTTTGGTTCCCAGCGCACATGTTGGGCAGCTCACAATTGCCTGCAACTCCAGTTCCAGGGGGATCCAGTCCCTCTGTCTTCCCACATCCACGTGTACACACCCACATTCGTACACACACCCACATCCACATCCACAAACACATGCATCCCCCAACATGTATGCATAATTAAAAAATTGAAAATAAAATTTTAAAAATAATTTATTGAGAATTTCATACATGCGTATAAGGTGTTTTGATCAAATCCATGCCCACTCCCACCCCTCCAACTCCTCCCATATCTCCCCGTCACTTTTTTCTGATAACTTCATGTACTCTTTCTTCTTTGATTTATTATTTTTTTATGGGGCTTTTGGCTACTCTACCATCCCCACTCTGAAGAGGTAACCCTAAAATCTTTTAAGGATT